TCAATGATGCGGAAACACTTTTTGATAATTATCTGTGAGATGGAAAACGTATCCGCCTGGATTATAAGCAAATAAGTTCTCGCTTAACGTTAAGAAGACTAGCTATATGCCATTTAGCAGAAAGCAGCATCAGGTCCCACTGAAATTATTATTGATGATACCGGTATTACAAAAACTAACTCAACTAAATTCTCAGGACTATACATAGAGGACCGCTTAACCTGGAATAAACACGCAATTATTCCCAGGAATTTAGGCATTATCTCAAAATGAAAAGCAACCCTTCTCCAGAAAATGTGAATGACTTTTTATAATACTAAAATATTTAGAATTTAGAATAGAACTAGAATACTAAAATCTTACCGTACATTTCACATGGCATTCCTGCTTGGGGCAACAGTAGCATTAGTCATCTTAATCGAGTCCTTAAATTAAAGGGAAAAAAAGCCATGCGGATTCTTTACAATGTTAATTTGATTAATGAAGAAATCCATCATCACTTCACAAGGCAAAGCCATGAATTTCATCGATCCTATGCGCGAACCGTGCAATATCTAGAGCAACTGTGAAACATGAGGGGCCTAAGCTATGGAGTTCAGTGGACATATCCTTGAAAAAGATCGCCAGTCTTCCTGTCTTCAGGCGTAAATACGACAATAAATGGTTAAATAATTATGTCGTAACTAACTAAGTTTTGTTGTTTTTTTCCACGGGGTTATAGCTCAATATCAACGATTATACCTGTCTGTGTGCCTGGTTATAGCGGAAAGAAATGGAATCCATTTTTTGTGTTAGGGGTTGTACAAGACAAATTGCAGACTGCAAAGAGAAACGGATCTGGTTCGTCAGATTTCCCAAGTGCAGAAAGCAGCGAATCCAATGGGTAGAGTTCACGTACCTTGAACATCAGTATGCTGTGAAAAATGCACAGGTTAGCTCCAAGAACACTAACGATATAATTTATACTACTTATGATGGAAGGGGCCATACTAAGAAACAACGATCTCGTGCGCACAGGAAAAATCACAATTATGAAGTCTTTTACAGAGCACTAAAAATCCCACTTAGATTGGAAACTAGTTGCAAAAACGATTCAATGGGATTTCTGAAGAAAAAAAATGAACAATGCCTGAAAACCTGACAGAGAGTAATTATCAAAGTGGCACCCCTGTGCCATTTGTGCGCATGCGTGCATAATCACGAATTTGTTAGGGAAAAGGTCTACAGCGAGAGATGCCTGCCGCTTTGCTAATTAACGCGAAATCGCCAAATAAAAGATATTCCATTCTCCATGTAAACTGCTCCGTAGGCCAGTTATTGAGGGCGCTGTTAGCAGCCTCACTCCAACGCAGAAAAACAAGTAACACGTGACCATAGATCTGATCTTCAAGATTTATTGATCACAATCATGTCTGTGTGACTACCTGTATGTATTCTGGTGACTGAGAAAATACAAGAGAGGGCGCACTAACTCAAAGTTGATCTAACACTCCATTCGTGACCTGCAGATCAGGACCGAAATCATGTTATCATTTTCATACTTCGCTCCTCCCTTGAGCGTTTATGAACAGATTTTTTAAATGGCGATTCATTACCAGCATCATTTACAGTTCGCCAAAGCGTACACGACCAACTGACCCCTCCCACCAGTTTACGGTCTACACGCTTGTGACAAAGTGGGTGACCCTTGCAAAGAACACATCTCGCTCACTCTGCATCATTCCTTGTTGCCGTTGCCATGGGCACCGTTCACGGTTACCATGATGAGGGCCTCCTTACCAAATACCATCCTCTATGCAGCCGGCTTGTAACTCCATTACACCCGGCCTTGTCTTTATAGCTCTCTCATCTTTAACGCTTCAACAGACAAGAGAGGGGCAGTAGATAAAGATCTAATGTACTCAGAAAGGACGAAGAGGGCAGTTTCTGCGATCACCGACTGAACCTGACGTATAACGGGACGCGTTTTGTCAAGTTGTCTGGACCAAAAAGGTCACACTTCAATGTTCGTGCCTACCTGCTCCCGGCGGGAAGCGTGAAGATCAGCCCTTCGAATATAAAGGGCAGAACAAAATTACCATATAGGCCTACATGAACAGCCCTTCCCAGCTATTAAAGGGGATACCTTTTATTGTGCATAATCAACATTGCATCTGTGATTAGAAAAGGAACTCTACAGCAAAATACCCACCGCTCTCGTTTTGTCGTGAAACCGTTGGAGTAGTTCTTATCACCACAAACATCGTGCAGGGAGGGCGCACGCTCGAGGCAACCCACCTCGGTTGTAGACCGACTTCTGCATGCCGAGAAGATGGTGGTCTTTAGGTTCAAACTGACCCGGTCGGTGAAGGCGGTGTTGATGATCGCCCTACTCTGTTACCTTTCCATCGTGCTGGTCGGCATAGCGGCGATAATGCAGAAGCCCACCTTCCGCAGGACCGTCAACAATGGCAATTTCCCTGCTACCGGTCGTCCCGCCGCCCTCGTGGGTCTGAAACATACGGACAGCTGCTCGACAAGCTCGGGGAACAAGACAGAGGAACAGAAGACGGCAAAGCCTAAAACAGCGGTAGGTAGAATTTTACTTATTAGAATCTTCATACGACAAACGGATCCAAAACCAAATTTTCGGGGGGGGGGGGCTCGATTTTGCAAAGTTGCTTATCTACAAAATTGAATTGGACTGTAGAAAAGCATGTCCCTTAAAATGACAGAATTGAAATTCAAAAGCTGGCGTCCTGCGGAAAGGAATCGAGCAGCGTGGCTCTGGTGTTTCCACCAACTGTGGAAACATTTCTGCCAACTGTCGACCATCCCTGTCGACAAAAAGCCACAAGATATTTCCAGGAAATTCACCCGTTTCAAAGGGTGCCCTCAATGTAAATATTTTCAAATGCTCCCTTGTGTTCTATGTAAATCTGATGTTATACATTGTAGTGTTTGTTTCATTTAAGGGCATAAAAGGACATTTTTGGTCCCTTTTTAGGTACATGAATGCAAATTTGCCCATATTTTAAAAGAGTGACGTCATCCAAGGCAGACACATAGTGCTGCAGCTATTTCTGCACGAAACGTTTTACGAGTTACGTACCCGACTACGTGCCAGAGCTGGGAGTGTTATTATTCTTGCGCAGACCAATGAACGTTCTTGCCGGAACTGCGCATTCTGGTCTGGAAAGTCGCAAAAAGAGCAAAAAGCACGCAGAAAACGTCAATTTTTGCTGATTTAATGACATAAAAGAGGGGTTAATCCAACTTATTGTATATGAGAGGGTTGAAACTATCATATAACGTCAATTTAGCCCTACAAGGCCCATCTCCTTTAATACCCCAAAAATACACATCAGAAGTTTGTTGTAAGCGACAACAAGCAGAATTTCAAATTTGCAAATTTACTCCGAGATTAGAATTAACAAAAACAATACAGGTCAGAAAGAATTTGAAACAACGCATTCAATCTAAAAAGCAGGCACTCTTTTTTTCATCTCTAATCGAGCCAGCCGTGTCCCAAGACGATAGCCTCCCTCACCAAATACTCCAAGTGGTTCCGAGAGAGGTACCAGCCCGGCATCAAGCTCTTCTTGGACAGGGACGACACCAAACACTACGACAGCCTCTCGGCCAGCGTACTCCCCTTCGGCTTCAAAAAACAGAACCTGACAGGTACATCATCCATAGGGTTGAAGGCCAGCAAATAGATCCAAAATTGACCAAATCATGATTTGCATGCTGTCAGATTCTCTGCAATTAGAGCATTTCGTAGCACGTGGACGGGATGGTTTGTTTACAGAAGGATGAAAGCTACCAGCAACATTGCCAGCTTGCGTTTCTGAAATATTATACCAGACAGCTTCAAGTGAAAGCATCAGTTTCCAGAATGGCAGAGGGCTTCACGACCGCTTTTCGGGTTGAGCAACTGTGACAAGAAATAATCGTCAAAAGTTATCTGTTAGGGCACCAAAAATTGAAAGGAATGTGAAAGATGAGGACGTGAAGTCTGATTTGATGTGTGTCTTGAACACCTAAAATAACTTGTATTATTTCCTTTGGTCTTTTCATTTTGTACTGTCACTTTTGTCTATGGCATCTTAGTTACCGGACTGCTAAAGGTTGCTCGCTCACCTTCCTGAATTATTCCATCTTTGCTGTTGTTTAACTTTTACTTTCTAACTTGATTCATAAAATTTGTTTATGGTTGAATTCATTTTCCTCTACGATAGCTTAGAAAATCTGCGCGCGCATCGTATGCAAGCGGAGGTGCATGGACTCTCTATTATCGCAGTATCGGTTTCTACGATGGCCTTTAAAGTACTTTGTTTGTGAATAAATAAAGATAAAAAGAATGATTTTGTTTTCCAGTCTTCTCCTTAAAGATGCCAAACGCCGAGAGAACGAGATGGGAAAAATTGCATTGCGTCTTCTTACACTTATAAATCCGGCAATCTTTTTTTCACCAGAACTTTTTTACCCGAATCTTAAAATGTAGCAACAACTTTGACATTCATCTTATTACTAAAATTGGTGTTTCGCCAAAGGGATAAGAAATAAGTGAGTGTGGCAAATTTCAACAATAATGTCGACGTAATTATTCGCTGATTGCCCCGGATGCGGAGGGTAAAAGTACGATTGATACAAGTCTATTTTAATGAAGATTGGGGGCGCGCTTTATGCATGCAAACAGTTTTTCACCGCAGAAGCACTGAATTTGACTTTTTCGGACTGGGCATTTTCGAAGTTAAAACGTGCCTTCAGAAACCTTTAGCCTTTCGAAATTGGGGGACCCCAGAAATAGATATCCAAGGGCAAAGCGGCGTTAGAAACAACCGTTAAAGAGATTGACGGTAGGTAAGGACGGCCACGGTCAAGGAGAATTTACAAATTTCGGAAAAAGTATCTTTTATCAAAAATTATCAAAACTTATTGTTAAGTTATTGTCGGTTATGATTGTGGGAGAGTAATTCTTATGTCTTGCGTCTATTGTAGCTAACATTTTGATGAAATTCTGTTTTCTCTCCCTCATTTCTCAATTTTAGTCATGAGCCAAATCTTGCAGCACAAAGACTTTGCCAATCCTCCGGTTCACGGACTGGCCGGTAGGCAGAGCTGCATTCGATGCGCTGTGGTGGGCTGTGGGGGCATCCTGAACGGCTCGGGGGCCGGCAAAGAAATTGACGGCCACGATTACGTCTTCAGGTACGGTACACCCATCCTGCTCTCTCAGGATGAGAGGTTTAATTAATCCCTTTACTCAGCGTGTCTCAAATTGTGAGCAGTATATGTGGCAGTACTGTGGTGAATTTTCTGAAGGATCACCCTCGTTACACACATTTTCTTCCCAAAGGTGGCACTTAAGACAAAGTCACTGCGACTTTTAAAGAGGCTGAGTACATTTCGAAATTTCAGATGCGAGAGGGGGCTCACTATGGGCATAGCATAGTGTGTAAACGGCTTCAATCGTGGACTCCCTATTGTTCCCCTTTTGTTCATACTTTCGGAAGACCTCTCATATGTTTTGTACACGTTTTCCAACCGTGGACTTTTCGGCAACCGTGGACCCTATTGTCCCCTATTGTTTAAGGTCCACGATTGAAGGCGTTTACACACTCACAGTTTCTTCTGGAAAAAGGAAACTGTTTGGCCCCAGAAGTGGCGAGATTGTGTAAATATCTGCCAGGATCAACTTTTTGGTTCTTTGAGCTTCCACCAGAGGGCAGAATTAATTTCAAAATTCTGTTAAAACGGTCCTAGTGTAACCGTAGTGGCAAGGAAACAATAAAGTTGAGTCATAGACCCAGATTTTTCGTACGAAAGACAAAACGATTTATTCCGTTCCCCGTCGCAAGGGATATGTAAGTTCGAATTCTGTACAATTATCTGCTCTTATTTATCTGCGACAGCCTGATAGGTCTCTCTGCAGTCGACCAAGATGGCCCCGCACCTCACATTCCTCCGGGACCAAGAGCAATCACACAGATACATGTATTTCAAACAAAAGAAATCTTTAATTGGCGGTGGTCCTGTGGCTAACGCTCCTGACCCGGGAGCGAGGGGTTGTGAAATCGATTCCCGACTGTGAGGAATAACCTTTTTTTTTTCAAAATCAACTTTTGACCATTTTGAAGATTTTTTTATAATGATCAATAATAGAAAGTTTAGTTTTGATAAACACAACGAAGTCTCAAACGCACATGCCAGCGAGTCCTACGGGTTAGGGTTCGACGCTAGTATAGATACACAACACAGCCGCAACTCGCTGTTCTGGTCTCGAAATCTCTGTTTTATTGCTGTAGCGTCCACAACAATGTGTTTTTCAGACAAGCTCTAAACATGGCGCCCCTCGGCAGGGACTGCGCAGGCGCGAGGCGGGAAAACCGCGGGCCGTTCACATACCAGCGGGGGCAGCCAGCCAACTCCATGCGGGTCCGAGCTGGCGCCCTCACCGGCCGCCCCCGCCGGCGCTACAATTCCCTAAAATGCAGCTTTGCTATTGTTCGCAAAACGCAACTTTAATGTGGCAAGAAAATCGCTCGTAATGCTATGCGATTCTACCAGTGTCGCTGTAAACAGGAGGATAGCGCTGACAAAGCGCGCGTGGTGAATGCACAATAACCCGTAACTAATGGTGGCGCTATTTACAATACAAAACTTAAGTGCCGAGCAAAGTACTAGGCGGCTTGATCGCAAAGAAATGCGCAATTGCGTGCGCTGAGCTTTAAAAAAAAGTCTCAGTATGAACACATGTATGAAAACCAGGCAAAACTACAAAACATGGACGCATCCATGTATGTGCACAAAACTATGAAAAACTCGAAACTTTGTACAGCTTTGATACGGCTATTTGCAAATCGGCTTCTGTAATTTATGTGGAAATAAAAACTACTCAGAATGGCATAAATGTTCAGGTAATAATTGTGCAGTTGTTGGAAGCAGCGCCTAAAGACACACTGAAATAGGGGTTTGAGTTGTTATGGTATACCGAATGCTGTCTGTCTCACACATTGTCCGTTTTGCATTTTTTTCCACGAAAAACATGGGAAAAAAACAACAGAACACCAAGGCAAAATTACGAGCACAGCGACGCGTGACAGTCGCAACCGTTAATCGCACGTGAACAAGTCTTCAAAGGTCAATCGGAAGTTTCCCTTGCCGGTAACTCCGGCCCACGGAACATGCATACCCGCAATGCGCTGTGCGCCCGCTGGAGTTGGCAGTCCATTGGGTTTTTTCCCTCCAGGTCTATGCCGACTGACGATGTTTACGCGAGAACACTTCGTTTTCTTCCGTGCTTTTGCAGAGTGAACAAGGCCTTGACATCAGGGCGGTTCGCAAACGACGTTGGAAAACGGACCACGTTCTACACTTTTTACCCAGAATCGCAGCACCTTAATGATGTGGAAGACAAGGTGAGGTGACATTAAGATTGGGGGGGGGGCGGGGCGGGGGTAAGGGGTTGAGAAGAACGACTGGTAAAAGAGAAGATTTTGTCCGATTCTGGATGATGGATGCTTCTTAAAAAGTACACCTGCGGCTTTGTTTGGCTTCGGACGTACTAATTTTCCAAAACGAGAACAGCTTGACCATCGAGTACCCACTGTCGTCAAAGGTAACTCCTTTGTGGTACGTTCTCGTCTTTTAAATCACAAACACGTGAGAAAAAACCGGCAAGATAGCAAAAATTGCATTGTGTGGACATTCCCTTGTTTTGTGTGTTAAAAAATCTCGCAACTCTTTTTGTGGTGAATACTGTTTCAAAATATATTTTTGTTACTTCCCTGATTGTTCTCTGTTTTGCTACAGATAATCCTACCCGGCCCCGGCCCAAATCTCTCTTAACTGTTTTCAGAATGGGAAAAATGTTTTACAATGTTTGGACATCTCATGATGTCCACAATAGCGTAATTCTACAAACACATCAGAGTGATAACATAATTCAAGTACTCTCCAGTGTCCTCGTTTCTTCTGCTGTTGGCCCAATGACTTTTTATCAACTTCTATCATGGAAACTGTGAACAGTTTTTAACCGTGAACGGGTTGACAAACGAGGACTTTATTGTCCTCAAGTGATTTGCTGAATGTCCTCGTGCTTAACACACACACTTTTTCCCACTTGAAGTGTCTTTTTCTCTTTCTCCTTTCACACAAACTTCAAACCAAGGAAGTTTGCTTCCCTCTTATTTCATGCCTAATCCAGCTCTCACATGAAATGACCCGGTAAATGTGAATAAGTCATGTGTTGTTTAGAGATTGAACTCATTTGAAACTGACAAAAATGAGAAAAGCAAATAAAATGGTAAGCTCTGATATACGGTTTCTCGTCAGCAGGCTTCATTGTCTGGTAGCAAAAAAATAAGCAACATCTGGTTGAAGGATTTTGGGTTTGTTTTTTTTTGGTGGAGCTTAAAATTACAAAATTATACGTGAACTTAGCGAGCACAATATGTCCTACTTCACCCAGATGTGAGTTATAGATTGACGTGATGCGCTGACGAGTCACATCTCTTCTTTATTTGCTGCTAATTTGAGGTCTGTGTGCATTCATTTGATGATGGCAGGTGTTTTTTGTATAAAATTGCCTCTTTAAAGGTGTTTCACCTTGCGTGTTACCTGATTTCGTGCCTGAAAGCCAAATAGCCTTACTCGAAATGGACAGGAGCGGTCAGGAGCCCGGAACGTGTTCGTCGTTATTTTGTTTTCTTCCTGCCATCTCGATATACTGGGGGTGCCCCCAGCCATGCAGAATTGGATTAATTGGCATTTTAGCAACAGTGTCTCGTCAATGCACTTTGTCACGTTTCCAGTAGACTGGCAGATACAGTTCTGGAGAGTCAAGGGGGTTTGTTGGGGTGTTTGTTGGTTGGTTGGTTGTTTGGTTGGGTTGTTGGTTTGTTGGTTGGTTGGGGTGTTTGTTTGTTATTGTTNCCCCCCATGAACGAAATTTGTACACTGGTGTATAAAACCTTATAATTACAAAATCTAATTGAGCAGTTTACAAAATATAATGGTGCAGTATAGGCACATTGACTCCGATGGCCAGGGGTATCAGTTTGGCTAACGGGCAGTTTTTAATTTTTTGCCAAGAGTGAACGTACAGGTGGTTAATCATAGATGAAGCCCCGCTTAGCATGAAGGTAGATGCTCTTACAGTCTATACATCTACCTAGTTTTATCTAAATCAGACAACCCATTATGGTCAATTCACACTACCTAATACCTATCCCCACGCAACCCTATTTCTTACAAGCATTCGGTGGAAAACAGGTACACATAACGTCATCACACACTGTGGTCCACACTATGTACATACCACGCCGGCACCCTCGTGTCCAAAACTCTGACATCTCTGCGAGAACGTTTCTGCCCCAGAAACACAGTCATTTGCAAAAGTTTAAGACCACATGGAGTTTTATTGGTATTTCTGTCACTTGGCCTGCATTACATTGTCTCCTTGAATGTGTTTTGATAGTGGTGTATATTATCATTGTGTAGTGCTATATACCCATTTGAATGATTTCTTTGCAAAGGCAGGTCATGTATGAAACTTTGAGTTTAGGCACATGCTGCATGGGTAAAAAAAAAGCCAGTCTAAGTAATCAGCAATAAAGGAGGGCACACTAAATATTAGACTGTTATCATTTCAAAAATGGAAATGTTGTCAAATAGCTGTTTAACCAAGATACTAAGTTGCCATGATTGATTGGTTTAAGTTTGGTTTTTCTTCAGATTGGTGCATTTTGTATGGGCGGTCCTAAAATTTTGCAAATGACTGAATTTCATCAGATGAAGAAAGCCGCGGGTCTGTGTTCAATTCATATCCGTGTATAAAGATACCTTGACCACTAATAGTACAGTACCTGGAAATCGTATAGCAATGCCTGGGTGAATGTATGTGTGTATGTATCACAAGAAGGAGTGTCGTGGGTCATAATTTGCTGATCGTCGTCCAAGTCCGGATCCACACCCGTGAGGGAAGTTTTCGCCTTGGTGAAAAACCGAACCACGAATACAGTGTGGTATCTGCATTGAGCCACATATAGAATTCAGTTAGGCCAACCACGTGTTTTGAATTGTTTTGTTGCTTATAGCTCGTGGATATCCAAAGACTGAGGACAATATCTTGTCGGGGGAGCAACCCTCCCCCCCGCTTTGACACTGAGAAAAATAAATTAAAAAAACACATTCGGACATTGAAAAAATCCTGCCACTCCCTCCCAGGAAAAGTCCTGGATCCACCCCTGATACATGGACAAATACACTAGTTACGTTATTTTTCTCTTCGCAGAATGTTCTTGCATTCTTTACGATGTTCAAAGCTTACGATGCCGACTACGCACTGAATATGATGAACGGGGAGAAACCACCCAAGTACTTGAAAAAAGGAAAGAAATAGTAAGTATAAATATATTGGCCCCGAGAGACACTTCAAAATGTAGCTTGGCTGTGGGGTGGGCCGCCGCTGGGGGCGTATTATACATAACTGTGTGGGAATACACACTGTACTTTCCTATGGGAAAATGGTTCTATCGCCAGTCTCAAGAGGAGACTAATTTCAGTCTTTCCGCTTCGTGGAAGTTTCCAAATTGTTGAAATGGAGGCTTCCTTTGAAAACTATCCTCTAGAGTTGGGATGATAGACTGTCTTTAGGTCGTGTTCCCCCAAGCGTATTGTGTAAAAACCGTTTCACCTTTTGGGGCGCGCCCCGCTCGCCCCTCAAGGCTTTGGCCCCCTTTGCACTCCAAGTACTGCTACTTAATATTTTTTTTAAAGTATGGGATATTTATGGAACGCATGTTAGTGATGACTATCCGCCTTGAGAAAAGGCACCCCTCATCGGTTGAAAAGAGCCATGTTGGTCGGGAGTGTTCATTTTGTTGGTAGCGACGCGCCGGTAACGCGTTCATTTCATATTCCTTTGTGAACCAGCGAAAATTGCGCCCTCTCGTGGTCCAGCTTGGGGCTCATTAAGAAGATCAGCTCTGACACGATTATTATGTAATGTTGGACGGCTTCCGCTCAAACTTCCCCCAACTGATCGCTGGATCTGTCCCATTTTTGTAACAGTGGCGTCAGGACACCTGTCGTGACTCCCACCAGAGTGAAGTTTGTTCACCCCAATTTCTTCTTCTACGTCTTCAAGACTTTTTTGGACAGCAAAGCCTACAGACCGACCACAGGTACAGTCCACACGGAAAAATTCCCTCGATTAATTTGACCCACGGGAGGGTGAAAATTGCAACGACCCTAAATTCTGAGTTGTGTCAACAAAATTCGGTGGTTGAAAATTAATTTCTGGTGTTTTAATTAAAATGGTTAATAATTACCCCTTTTCGGGGATGAAAAATTAATCAGAAGTGAATCATCCGAAAAACTGGGTTAGCATAACCAATTTTGAGTAGTTAAACTAAACCAGCCATTTTCAGTGCATGGTACCAATTGTGCATCATACAAATACATATGTACATATGTTGGCCTTTATACAGACAGTTTCAGCTGGACCGTGCGGGCACAGGTTGATCATAACAAAGATAACCATAACAAATTTGGCAACTTAAAACCTTCCTCATCCAATAGAAACAGCCGGTCTGTGGGTTGAGGGCGCCCTGTAGAACCATTCATGGCTAAAGGCAGCCGTTGAGTCCGTTGTCCAGAGCTAAGGCTCCGTCTGATATGGTGGCACTATAGAAGCATCCGTAGCCATATAGCGCGGGAAGCCTGTTCCTTACACTTTATTTTATTGGAGAGTTTTCTCGTGCTCGAATTTGACAGGCGCGCTGGTGGTGTTCCTAGCTCTGCACATCTGCGACGAGGTCACCATCTACGGCTTCGGCTACGACCCCCGCTTCACCATGCACTACTACGACACCAAGTTCGTGGTGCACACACGGGCCTCGACGGGCGTCCATGACGTAGACAACGAGCGAAAACTGTGGCACAAACTCCACGAGGAAGGCGCCATCAAGCTCTTCCAAAGAGACATGTGAC